CTGCTCCTCAATGGCCTGGCTGGAAGCCAAAACACCCAGTGTTGCCGGTCTGCTGTGAAGGGCCAGAAATCTGTGCGAGAAGCAAGGCTTGCTGCACCTCCTTCAGTTCCCATAATTAAAAAAAACTAGTCATCATTCAGGTTTCAAGTGTTTTCTGCACCATATGTCTCAATATTTCCATCACGGTATTCTCTATTTACTATTAGTTTAGTCAACTGGAGGCTGCAACGGAAGATACTTGTCCAGTTATTTTGAATTTTTCTGGGTTTATTCATGTTGACACATTCAATATTAGTATGACACTCTTGATACAACCACCGAGACATTGCACGGTGTTTACATTAAGCAGCAGAGAAATCCAACATTACAAAATATGTGAGTGCAGCCTAAATAAACCAAAGGAAGAGAGTGCTTTATAGAGAAAAAAGAATATTTTCCATAAAATTAAATTTTAGCTCAAAAATTCATATTTTGACCTCAATTAAAATGTTCAGAAAAATCACTTCTAACCTTCTTTTCTCTGGACTCTGGTGTGGCCATTCATTTTGCTGTAAAGACTGCCTAGAATCTTTATAGACTTGCCTGCGGATATCTCAGTTCAAAGCATTTCCCTCCCAGCTAGGGGTATTGATCTAACAAGATTTTGTGCAGATACTTCTACCACCTTTAAGATGCTCTCAATGTCCCAAACACCCTTCTTGCTGTAGGTCTGCTTGCGAACTCCAAGTTCTCATCCTGCATACCGGGACGTGGCCACAAGACAGGATCTCAGCTTTTGCACCGGGTGCATACCCATAGCTCAGGTCAGAAAATTTCCTGAAATTGTACAAGTTAAAGGATTATATTTCTGCCTCTTTTACCTCTCCTATGGAATTTTTTCTAATTCCAAAATATTTTCAGAAAAAACAATAAAAATCAGAATGTTATTGCAATGATTGCATTATAGAATCATAGAATCTAGGTTGCAAAAGACCTCTAAGATCATCAAGTCCAACCGTCAACCCAACACCACCATGCCTACTAAACAATATCCCAAAATGCCACATCTACACGCTTTTTGAACACCTATTATAATAAACGTAGACTGGGCTTTCAGCTAGAATTTCAATTTTTTTAAGCTGTTGCACAATCTCAGGTCATCAGCTCTAGCTGGGGAACATTTCATTTCTCTTCAGCTTCTGCCCTTAAGATTCATATAAGTGTCATTAAACCCAGGACATCAAAGAACACAGAACAGCTCCATAGAAGCAATTCACATCCTTATTTAACCATTAGTTATAATTACTCTAATAGCATAACTTCATTAGTCTTTCTTTTCCCCATTTAAAAGTAATATGGAATCTTTAGGCAATTATAATGACTAGCTAACACTGTCCAAAAGTAACTCTAAGCCACCAAAATACTTGAAATGCAATCTGATAGTAGTTTGAGGTGAAATGAGCTACAAATATTGCCACTAAAATACTATTTTCAGTGAAAATTTTTGCTAAAGATGCTGCAATACTAACCTATATTCAGCTAAAATGTAGTTAAGTGTGGGTAAAAGTTGACCTTATTATACTGAGTATAATTTCTTGGTAGCTTAGTTGCACTGTGTGTCTTCACTAAAACACAGTATTTCACATATAAGAAACTCTCTATGTTACTTCTGTATCAACAATTACTTGAACAACACTGTTAACCTCTGTAGATTTTTTCAAAGATGTTGCTAGTTACATTTTACTTAGAGTACTCATTTCTTAAACAAGAAATGTTTGTACAAATATCCATATTGATACATATCGCTCTATCGGTATCAATGTTGATATCCATTTGTCTATGAATATAGATATCAATATATTATTTTTAAATACATATGTATGCATATGCAGTATATAAAAGTGGTAGAATAATATTATATTTTGTAATAAAAAGGAATATGTACCAAACATTATTTTGTTTGTAGTCTTTCTTTACAAAATATTTTATGAACTGAAGCAAGCAAAGAAATGCACCACAATACTGTAAATACACCATAGTTGTAGACTCCGGCCACATAACATTATATCACTGTGCTGATCTCCAAGTTCATATAGTTTTTCTCTTTTAGTGAAAATACAACTTAAATATATCTGCATGCACCTACCACCTTCCCAGCGCACATTGCTATGTACACCAAGGGGAGAATTATAACATTTCCTAATCTGAATTGCTGGAAAGTGGTTGGATTTATGGCTAAAAACACATGAAAGGCAACTGATTTTGCTTATGTTCCCTGAACTGTCCCATGACTCCAGTTTTTGTGTCACTTCAGCTCCAGATAACTAATCTGTACAGTGCAAAATGCATCTTTTCTAATCCAGCTAATCTCCCTCCTGTATTTATTTTGTTTCCTGTTCAAGGCCATTTCAAGCTTCTCTAGTCTTTCAAGGAGTTCAACATGCAAACGTATTAGAAATGCAATCCGCTTTCACAGTCGTATTATGTTGGTTTCCTAACTACTTTACGAAGAAAAAAAAGGCTCTTGTAGTTTTCTGTGGCCACTAAATTTGCTGAGTTTCATTTTGGCAAGGTTTCCCAGCTGCAGTGCAGAAGAAATGTCTCTGTGTGTGGCACGCTCGAGTGCAGGTGGAATCAGGAAGCGTAACGCCAAGAGATGTACCGTAAACAAGGTACAAGGCTGTAAGTAACAGATTTGATCACAGCAGTTTTGGAGGTTTTTTTCAGTTTATCTCTATTTATAGAGCTGAAGTCAGGCTTGTCTTTAAGCACAGGCAGGTGCTGAACAGAGGAGACAGTCAGGGTCAGCAAAGCACTCTCTGTTGGGATGCTGTGAATGCAGATGCACCCAAGTGTTGCTTCCACCTCGGTATCTGTTCTCCTCTATGCCGGCGAGCAGACAAGAGCAAGGCAAAGCTGGCCTTGCACCACCACCACACCATATTGGCCTTACACCAACACCACACCTGCCCTCGAAGAAGTAAGAGCTTATGACTTTCCAAGCCATTGCATGGGTCCTGACTGGCCAGATAATCCAGAAAAGATGAAACCCAAAGCAGGAGGGATGGAGAGTTTTCACTTGTTCCTGGTGAAGCAAGAGCTCTGCTGGATATGGTCAGAGAGAACATGTCGGAAAAATTTCAAGATTACCTCTTTAAATTAACAAAAAAATTGAATTACAATTCCTTTATCAAAGACAATTTGCACAAAGGTGCATACGCTTAGTTAGGTACATTTTTTAAAAAATAGCTATTTTATTTGGCTATCTACTTCACAGCACTATGCCACTTAATCAAATCGCTGTGGCAGTGAACATGGTGATACCGTTTCATGAAAGTGCCAGTGTGGGATCCTCGAACATAAAGGAAGCAACAATAGCCTGACTATATTCACAAGATGGTCTGGACAATCAGATGACCAGATGGAGGAGAGAGAGGCAAAGACTTCACTGCTGGCAGGCACCCAAAGCTTCTTGAACCTCATGTACTCTTCCCTAATAAATATGTCATTTCAATACCAGCCATGGTAACGTAGTGATAACAGCAGGAGAATAACTCTCCTTATAATTGTGCGAGACATCCAGATATATTCCCCTGTCTCCCTGACTAATGTTTCCAATATGACTTGTTAGCTTCTGCAATGATCAAGCAGCTATTAAAGATAAAACTGTGTTAACCTTTTCAAAAATTAGAAGAGCATGACTGTAACTGGAACTACAATGGCTTCCCGGAGACTAGAGCAAAAGGGTGAAAGATCATCTGCTGAGACATTACTAAGAGACGTATTATTTATTTAGTATGCCTGAAATACATGTGAAGGATGTGGTCCCATCCAAATACCTCCTCCTCGCTGTGCGGTTTCTCTAACCAGTGCGAGCAGGTAAGAAGAAAGAACCTGGATCAGTTTATAAAAGAGGTAAATAATCTCTCTGATTTATTTCCCTCTCTGACACCTAGTCTAGCAGACTGATCATAGGAAAAGAGCTTTTGAAACTCTGAAATCAACTACATTTTTCTTAATGTTGAGTTTAAATTGGACCCCAAACCATTTTAATCCTAAGGAATCTGTGAGAACCAATCCACCCATCACAGTTTGTTTATATTTGTACCTTCAATCACAGACCTCTGAATTAGACACTAACATAATAGTTCATATAGCTAGACCCCCAATGATGACAACAGGGGTTTCATGTCATCCAGTGAACTGACAATCTAGAGGTGCAGGATATTCAGAAATTGGCTTGTCTGATGTCAAAGGTAAGTACAAAATCATCCTTGACATGCACAAGCTATAATAAAAGACAGGTCTTTGTTGACTGATAAGTATAATCTGTAGACTACAAGTGACAAACAGGGAATAAATCCCGACTAGAAATAAAAATGACTGACAGTCAAAAAAATCCACAACTTTAGTATACAATGAAAACCTTTTTGGATTTATTTTCTTAAATAAAGTTTTTACTGAAGTTATCAGAGCTGCTGATAGAATAAAGCTCATAATAAAAACAGATATTAGCAGTATGAAAATTGCAGGAATGCAATATACAATCCCAGGAACATGGAATATTTATAACTTCTGACTTCTATTAAACTAGCATCTCAGTCGCATTTTTGAGATTTTAATATCTGCAAGTAATTCATTGTCTTCCCACAAGGATCAGTAAAAAGATCATCTAAAATAATGTGTCCAAATTAACCATTTCCCTCTCTCAACTCAGGTTAGCAAACACTGCAAACCATCTCAATTGGAAACTGGGTCTTCTGCCTACTTTAGTTGAAGAAAATGGAAAAACCAGACTCCATAGGGAAATACATGAAGGGCTAAGCTGCCCTGCGTGAAAATGTTTCATAATGTAGGAGCTGCTGTTCTCTCAACAGATCTAAAATACAACCCATAAAAACTCAGGCAAGGGAAGAGTGGGGTAGGCAATGATGAAAAGTGCCTGATTTAGAGATAAAAGAGAGATTTCTCCCTGAACCTGGATGTTGGTGGTAATTTCCAATACCAGAAATTTGCCCCAAATGAGCAGTTCAGCAATTGTTGACCTCATCGCCCTGATGCCTACCAGCAAAGAACAATCTACTCCAGAAGTCATAGAAAATGTAGGCAGTCCCCAGGAAGCAGTGGACCTCATGGAGTCTCCTTCGGTGGCCACCCAGCAAAGAATGAGCAGTGCAAGTAATTTCTCATCATTTCTCAGTTTATTATTTTTATTTTATTAAGAAACTTAAAAACAGAACAATCCCAAATTGTTCAGCAAAACCATTTTGAGCTCTAGGCAAGAGTATAATTTTCTTATAACATGTTTCCTTACTTCAGCTGCTCTCCCCACGTCTAGTCATGAGATGAACAGATGTGCATCCGCCATGTTACACACCTTTCTCATCTTGCACCTCATGCAAGACTCCAAAACTGTGGGACAAAATAGGCTTCTCTCGTATTTGCGTGAACAAGGCAGCCAGGGATATGATATTTTACATATCCTGTATGATACTGGAGTATCAGAGTTCCATCTGCTCAATAAAATATTTGCCTATGAAAAGAAATAGAGGAAAAATAATCTCCCTTTTTCCCTCATGGAGGATAAGTATTAACATGGTATTAACAAGCCAATGTTTGTTCTGAACTACACTAATACAGAGAGATGCTGTTTGCCCAAGGAGGACATGTACTAGGTCATTCTCTTCCTTCACTCTGTTCATGTAGCTGAGAGGGACAATCATGCAGGGACACATAAAGCCTCAGCGACACCCAGTCCATGCTCTAGAAGATTTAATAACAAAAAGAGATGGAAAGGCAAAGTTTCCTGGAAAAGGAACTTGAATCTAATAACAAAAAACAGTTGACAGCTAAAAGAAGTACGAGAGTCCCAGTAGGGGTCCAGTTCCACTTCTAATCTGAGCAGAGCTGTGAGAAGTTGGTGCAGTACCTGGGAAACTCAGACCTCGTTCCCAGCACTGTGTTTTAGTGGAGGGGTGAAATATCGCAGGCATAAAATTTCTATTAAACTGGGACAAAAATGGAGTACTGTAATACTTATATGTAAATTATTAGAGAATAAGAGGGCAATACTAAAGCTATCAACTAGAAAATTACTTCAGTATTGTAGCATATAATTTTTTTCAAACATAAACTTTGTGAAGTCAGAGATACTAAGAAAAAAATTCTATAAATCCCTCTGGTAATAAGCAGTGGAATTAAAATCCAAGCAAAATTAAATTCCAGAAGATTAATGTTCCTTTTTATATTTTGATGACAACTATAAACATAATGTAATTTTGTGAATTTACAGCTTTAAAATGCAAGCTGATACCCCACAATGGTGCAATTTAAGTCACAAAGCAAACAAGTACTTTTTATTCTAATGTCCCCACAGATAAATTTTGCAGTAGCAATGAAATGGCCTTGAATTTCTTAACTACCATTTAAAATAATACAGAAAAAGTAAGTAATTTATATTTTAAGCCTTGTCTTATTTAAAATATACGCAGCAGTGTGTTGATAATAGTTGCATATCATCAAAGTAGACGGCCCAGATGCCTGAATACAAAGCCTGGGGTATCCTTCGCCAAAAAGATCTTGTAAAGTTCTGTGGCTTAAACTGCATATTTCTTTTTCTCACTCCTCTGAGATATAAGCACTTTAGTGGCAATGACCTTGTTAAGCCTTTTGAAAAATCATTAAATAGCCTATGAGGACTCTCAGTTCACTGGAGGGTGGAAGAATATGGGAATCCTGGTGGACTAGTTGGAGATAACATGGTGCCCTGGAGCAAACAAGGGAAAACTGGAGGGCTCCTTCACAGAAATAATGAGTATTCTGCATTATCCGGTTTGTACACTACACACTTCCCACCACCACCACAAATACGTGCATAAACACAATAAAGAAAGAGGGAAAATTCCAAAAAGAGTGAGGGGAAAGACCAGGTAACATAACCAGAAAACAATTTTAGGAGAAGATACAACGTGAAGGAGGTGTTCAGACACCGTGCAGAACTTCAACTGGAAGTCAAGTGGCAAGGCACAACTCCTGCTGTTTTCCTCAGTGTCTTGCCCGTAGTCTCAGTACCAGGGGTTTTTGCAGTAAGATAAAGTTGTACCCTTGTTGAGAGAAAACAGAAGTTCTGTACAAATAATAAAAGTGTCCCTGCCCATTTTCACACTTGGAAATTGTGCTAAATTTGCCCAGCTGAAATTTTCTCTTCGGATATCCTCTACAGAACATTTGGGGAAAATGGACACCTTATCTCCACTGTGTCTCTAATTCTTTTAAAAATTCTAATTATGCTTTAAAAAGGATTCCCCATCCCTGAAGCCAGATTTCTTTTGCTTCTGTTAGATAAAATGCAAACAAAAAAAGATCACCTAAGTTTTTTCCATATGTATTTGGCCTATCAGCAGAATGTAATCCTAAAAGGACATTTAAAATCTATTTTCCTCACCAGTATTTTTTCAGAAATAATTTCTCACAGAGCACAAATGTGCATAATAACCCACTTGGATGAATAAGCAGACAAAACATTAGGAGAACAATGTCATGTCGTTGCCATAGAAGTGACATAGTCACGCTGCAGAGTAACAGGTTTCAGAGAAATCTTTAGGGGATTTCACAATTGAAGGTCCTGTTTCCACCGAAATCACAACAAAACCTCCATTAACTGCGCAGAAACAGGTCTGGCCCTACACCAGCTGCAGAGCGAGTATGACAAGAAGAAGGGAGGAGACCAGGACAGCGTGAGATACCACGGGCAGGAAGGGGCAAGAGCCTTGGCGCCTGCCACTTGCGTTCAATTAAATCCATAGAGTCTTGCTAGCAAAAGAGGGATTTTGCTGCATCTTGCAAAGAGAGATAATGGATTGGAATCAGAGTCTCTGAGCAGCTGCTCCAACATCTCCAGCTCCCCAGGGCTTGCCTCAAGGGCAGGGATCAGCCATGGGACAATGTAGAAGACTTTGGCCTGACCCAAGAGCACCGGGTTTCAGCACTGCTGGGGCTTGCTTGTGCCTCAGCTGGTTTCCACGTGCTTTGGCAATTCCCTCCCAGACAGCCTAGGCTAGTTTTTGTTCCAGGCTCACTCACTGTTACTCTGGTTTCCAAGCTAATGAATGCACTGCTAGCCCTATCAAGAAGAAACATATGCGGTACCCTCCACTGACATCCCTACAAAAATATTTTTAAGTGAAAAATAAAACCAGCCATTAAATATTTAATATTAAGTAACCCGTGGGAATTTTAATGTATTATACTTGAAGAGAATACGTTCGGTAATAATAGAAGGGTGAAAAGAAATGCAAAAGCTGTTTCATCTGAAAGCACGTAGCAATTTTAACTTGTATTTTATCTATGAACCCATAAAATTTATATGGAAGAAATTAAATGTGTAAAATGATTTATAGGTGGATTAAAAAGGCTTGCAATTTTTTTAGTTTCATACATCTTCATGAAAACAGTTATAAATCTCTGTATCTTCAATTGCTTATCCAAGTTCTACAGAAACAGCATAAACAGAGCAAGCAATTATCTGTAATAAACTTTTTCTTTAATATTGTGGCATTCACCCTTTCATAAAACTATACATCACAATTTATCTTGTGCTTTATTAGAAAAATGAGATTTTTTTTGTTAGGTTCACATATTTTTCACAGCTGTACAGAAACTATCATCTTCCTGATAGGGTGATCCAGTCATTAAGTGTTAACAAAATAATCATGCAATTTAATCTGTATTTCTGCAAATTAATTTATATATATATAAAATGATGTTTTCTCCCTCATACACCACAGAATTCTCAAAACTCTAGAAAATTCCTTTGTAAGTGTGCTTCTCGGAGTAGTTGAAAAATCAGTTTCCATTATAGCCAATGCTGACATTTCAAATTATAATTTGAGCAGTGTTTCCTGGGGTTCAGGCATTGACTTTGACACTCAACAGAAGAGTTCGATGTTTTTTGTGGCAGCCATCTAAAAGTGTTCAATTTGAATTGGCGTCAGCTATGTTGAAGAAAAGCTCCACAACGGTGGAAGATGTGGGATTTTTCAGAAAAGCGATCTTAGCCCCCAGTCTACATCCTACAATAGAAGTGTTATCGTTTACTTGGAGTAATGCCTAGGATGGGTAATCAGGGCTCTGCGAAGCACAGAACAAATCTCAGAGCAGAGGTGACCTGGGAGCAGAATGAGAATGCTTACGTGATTTGGAGAGCAAACCCCCTCATATTAATTGCAATAGATGCAGAGTATATTGCTTGTATATTGTGGTATAAACAAGCCCCCAGACTCTGCTTTGAATAAAGAAAAAGACAAGCTATGGAAAAGAAGGTTTATCTCTATGTACAAAGAGTTGTAGTTAGGCTGTATGAGGGTTTCAGAAGAGACGACATTTGTAAATGGGATGGAGATGTGCCAGCACTACAGGTCAAGCCATGAGGTGTTCAACCCTGCTCTTCACCTAACGACACTACAGCCAGAAATAGAATTTTAATCCCACATAACACTCTTCTGGTGTATTAATATATGCAGTAGAGTTTCCATGCAGTGCTTGCTCATTGTCATATTCCGCAACCTGCACTGTGTGTGTTAAACTTCATGCAAATTGCTCAGATTTTGAGGTTGTGGTAGACAGTTTTGCCTTGGGTAACCAAAGCTTCGAGTCAGCTGCTTCACGTACGCACACCAAGTCGCTGCTGGCATGGATGGTATCAGAGACAGACCCTAGAATCTGCAGACTCCAAAAGGCAGCTCGTAAATGAGGATGTCTGACACTGTTATCAGTAGCTGTAGACAGCTTTTAATCCCTGTGGGCCTTCAGTAGCTCAGACATGTACATCCTGACTGCAGCCCACACAATGCTTCACCTTAGCATGAAATCACTGTTGGCTCTTGATGCGAAGATGCTGGCATAACTGACGGCATAAATCTGTATGTCTCATACCCTGCGTACTGGATAAATCACAACAAACCACATGCCTACTCAGTGTAGTGTTCTGCTTCGCAAACAGGGAAATCAAGATTATAGTTACAGCAGTAAAAACACACTGGTTGAAATTTGGACGTTTAGGCAATCCGTGCAACCTAAGCTGCTCAGGCTGGCCGTGAGTCTGGGTTCATTCGCAGCTAAGCCTCAGACAGCAGGTGGTTGGGCCTAGTGGAGTCATTCTTGTGCTTCACTGCAAGACA